GTTTGAAGTATCTTTGTACTCTTTTTGTTGTTACAATTCCATTTTTGGTATTCTTGCTATTTCTTTATTGCTGCAATTTCTGTTTTTACATTTTATACATTTTTATTGCTAAAATTTCTTTCTCGCTGATATTTCTTCTTTTTTTTTTTGTCGAATTTCTTTTAGAAAATTCTTCTAATTTAATTATATTCCTCCTCCTATCAATAATTTCTCTCGTCCAAGTTTTTTCTCACTTCTTCTCATTAGTCTAATATACAAGTTTTCAATTTCAATTTGATTATGGTAAAGAAGGAACATTGCCAAACAAAAATGCCTATGAAATAACAGGTTATTTTTCACAGGTGTTTCTCGGAAAAACTTTCAAACCGGAAGAGACTCTCCATAAATCTTCGCAGATATCAAATAATAATTATTTACAAATAGCTACTGCTGACCAAAGCAAAGGATAGTATTCAACTTCTCCGAAATACAAAGTTCTCAAAAATTTCAAAATCACTTCTATCTCTTTAAGGAGGTATTCTGGTTTACAAGTTAGAAAAAATCAGTTTCTTTTTTCTTCACAGTATGTGTGTTTAAAAAGATGCATGCAGAAGAATTTGTTCAATTTCGCAAAATTAATTTAATTATAAATGTTTGAAGTAGCACGTATATTTTTCTCTCTTGCGTAACATTCATTGTTTAAGTGTCCTGGTTTCTGGTTTTAAAATTAAAAAGAGAGATTAATATAAACAAGTATATTGAGAATGTAAAAATTCCTTTTTTAGATTTCTTCTTTAAATGTATTTTCCTCGAAATCCATTTTTTGAAATGATATTTTACACGATATTACAAATCCCAATTGACGAATTGACAAAATTTTAGGAAGATCTTCAGCCCGAGTGCTGTTACCGCGTGAACCAAAATTTTTGAAATCTGTTGATATTTCTCCATTTTTTTTTTTTTTTGAACATAATAAAAACTGAAAAAAGTGGAAAAAATAATATTTTTGGATTAAAAGTCTCATCGTTTTTTTGATAATCAAGATTTTCATTTTATTTTGGTTCACGCCGTTCATAGTCAAGATCATTTTCCATTCTTTTGTTTCAAACTAGAAAAATGGACAGAATAGCATTAGCTAGTGAGACACTCATTTCTAAAGAGCCTCATGTAATTCTGATTATTCTTGCTTTAAAAGAATAATTTAGTTATCCATAAATGTATGTGCAGAAAAACTTCAGGAGAAACAGAACAAGGCTTTTTTTGCAAAAATATCCTGAATATGATTTACTTAATATGGCACTTAGTAAACCATAATTTATTCTTGGTTGAATGCTAAATGCTCAAGCGACTTTAATGACCTCTAATGCAAGGCAATTCAAAGTATACAATAAGGATTTGAAACCTTAATTAGAACCGTATAAAGTATAGATTAGTCTTGATTTAATCGCTATTCAAAAACGTAGAATGTTGCCAACCGACTCTGAATGTCACAGCATCAATCGGTGCCGCTACTTGATGCTTTAATTTAAGACCACGCTATACAGTAGAAACTTCTATGACCAACATTCGTGTTCTATGCTCGTTATATCAATCCAAGCGTGAAATTCGATAATTAAGTAAATGCATCGTTCAGGTGAGAACACACGATATCTTCTTATCTACTCATTGTTGTTGCATCATTAGTCGCGAATCCAATAATAAATGGCAATGAATAGAGAACGTGTGTGTTGCTGGATACAGTAGATCTATCGATTGTAAATAATCGTCGATGTCGTAAACTAATTACTTCGACAATCAACACATGCCGAAAAAGCTGAAAAAATTTATCTTTCTAACATTTGTCGAAAAAATCATGTTGCATTCGGAAAAAGAATTATTACTCAAATCCTATTTTATCACAATCGAATTTATCCATAGTCCTCTTGTTTCTTAAATCTTTTAGAAATGTTCACATTGCAAGTCGCTATAATAATTATCAGCTGCATTTTTTCCATTACGTATTTAAATGAATATAAATTGGTAATTTAATTCATAATTTTAAAAATTATAAACAGCTACTGAAGATTCTGAGTCGATAACAGACTTGAAGCAGTGAAAGTATTATTTTACACTTTGGGATGGACGATAATTATATGTCGTTATTAGATATTTCAGTATCACAACATCTGCGTGTAGGATTAGTACATGATCGAGATCTAAACGAGCAAGATCTAAAAATGAGAGTAAGTCGTTGGCCTAACTCATAACTCATGATATTAGAAATTCAAGATATCAAAATCGGCGGTCAAATAAATCTAACTGCATTTCCATAGACAATTTTTTTAGGAAAATAGAATAGGAATAGGATTAAAAAAATATGATGAATTATTATTTGTTTCATATGACTATATTTTCTATGCATTCAAAAATGAAGAAAAAATATTAAATGAAACAAGAAGTTCCTTAACGATTTCTAAAATATCAAGTGTTTCCAAAGCATTATCCTTGATTAGAATTATGGCTTCCATACAAATATTTTACATTTTTCTTCTATAATGTGGGAAAATGTTTATAAAATAGAAAAATATTAATTTTTGGAAAGTTTCTTCTTTTAAAGAGATTTTAAAAAATTTAAAAACTAAAATTTCATTATTATATCAAATCCAATTATGAATAATATGATTATCAGAATACAATTAAAATAATATATAACTTATTAAAACTTAATTATTGTATCAAATTATAAATAATAAGATTACCAGAATATAGCTTAAATAATTTATTTATTCAAATAATAATTTATAATTGAAACAATTAAAATAATTTATCTAATTCATTTCTCAGCTAAATGAGACTTTTTATAGAAATATTTATTTTAGTTGTATGAAAAATACTTCTCAAACCAATGTTAGCGGTGCATGTAATAACAACAAAAATTGATTAATCATTCATATTTTTTTAAACGAAATCCAACTTTCATATATTACCAATTAATGCAGTTTTTTTCTTAATTTTTTATTCTCTTTAGTGATTTCTTGTAAAGATACTGTTTTCGAATATTCAGTTATATTTATATTTGTAAGTATTATATTATTAATATATAAATGTGTGTATTAATGTATAAATATGGAAAAGTTTCATGGTTTAACGAAAGAATGTTTCGAAAAAAAGTTAATCTGTTTTTAATAGGTTATAAACTTCAATATAAAAAATTTCTCTAAAAAATTTTTCGATAGAAAATCAAAGTCAGTTTGACTTTTTTAAATATATAATATCGTATATTTTCGTCCTTACTATGTTGTAGACGATATTAAGACAAATTCTTTCTATGGAAATCATGACCTTGAGATGATCTTAAAGTTAGAAATTTACGAAATTTAACAAAAAGATTATTATTAAACTTATTTTTACCAAACGGAACTTAGTTTTTACGTAGCTAAAACTATGTTCGTGTATTCTGGTATTTGGTATTTATTTTTATCAAATGTAACTTAGTTTTGCATAGCTAAAGCTATGTAAAGCTAAAGCTATGTTTATGTATTCTACTATGTTACAATAGTTTCCTTGTTCATTTTCTTGCAAACGTAGTCAAGTTGCTGAAGTAAATTAGTATTTGTTGCTGTTGTCAGGACAAACTTCGCGCCATGCAACATGAATTCGCAATATCTGAGCTCGCATTCTTAAGTTCAAAGTCATTTCAAGATCACAATGCAAGCAATCGAATTTTTTTTTATATCAGCATACATGGTAAAGACAAAAATATATAATGCCGTTTAAAAAAATGACCTTGATTTTTTATCGAAAAAAAATTTGGAAAGAATTTTTGATATTGCAGTTTGTAGCTCACCAAAAACAGATTAACTTTTGTTCGAAACATTTTCTGTCAGACCATTATAAATACATGAAAAATCGTAGCAACAATTATAGCATACATATTTTATATTATGTACATATCTCTAAAGTAAATATCATGTAGAAAATTTATTTCTACGTTGTTGGTTATTCTGTAACCTGGTGCAACCCACAGTATAATATAGTCTTTCGAACAAGAGTTTAGGTTAGAACTAAACAAATTGTTATTGCGTTTCTAAATTTACTCGCGATTGTTACACATCTCTTACATATTGTAGTTATTCCACATTGACAACAAAATATTAAAATGTTCCGAATTAGCTTGAGAACTGTACGTACCACTTTAGGAAGCAAGGCTTTTGCAAATGCACCGGCTCGAGAACAAGCGGTCTCAACAGCTTTCAAAGTTCAAGATCCGAAAGATTTCAATGATCGCGTTAAGAATTCCAAAGTGCCTGTTATCGTCGACTTTTTTGCAACGTGCGTAAAAGTCATATTGTCAAATGATTTTCAGAATGTGTCAAATGCAATTTGATTCGTAGGTGGTGCAATCCATGTCGGATGCTCACTCCTCGCATAGAATCGGTAATTGCAGAAAAACAAGGAAAAGTTCTGCTGGCGAAAGTTGATATCGATGAAAATAGTGATCTTGCTTTGGACTACGAGGTACATAATTTCTGATTTTCCTAAATGGATCATTTATTTTGAAGTAATGAAAATAATAGAAATTAATGTCATGTATAGGTTGGTTCCGTTCCAGTTCTGATTGCAATGAAGGATGGAAAAGTGTTAGATAGAATTATTGGTCTTCAAGATGTAGATAAACTTAAACAATTTGTAGACAAGTATTCAGAATAATGTAATTTACTTTAAGTGTAATTTTGTTATGGAATATTTGTAGTTATTGAGATACTTGTATAATATCGTATGGTAATAAGTGTATAGTACAATGTATAATTTTTTATTTATATATATCCTTAACTTTATAAACTTCACATATATGATATATATAAAATTGTCAAATAAATTGTTTTTAACATAATAAACAAATAAATTTAATTATTTACAAAAATTTGATCCAACTATTTCATGAATGAAAGAAGAATGATTAGCAACATATAAAAGAATGTATTATTTCACTAAAGGAATTGAACAGTTGATAAATTTTAAGTGCAATTGCAAATTAATTAGGTTTCTGTAGGTAAAGCTTGTAGAAGTTCTCTTGCCCTTTGATAAACAATAGATTCTACTTCATCCTTGTTTTCTTCATTCTCTTCTACCTTCTTTATAATATCCATGCCTTTTTTTAAAAGTTGTTCTCTAGCCATTCCTTTACAGCCTTCAAAATATTCCAAAACTGTTGGAAAAATGTCATTTGGTATAGAAGTTTCATCCAGCAAATTGTCAATTAACCAAATTTGTCTTAATTTTTCAAATTTCCATTGAGATCGTGCATGTTTCCACTGTAAATGATGTTATCATACAAAGAATTAGAAACTGTTCGTTGTTTCGAATATCTATCATCTTAAGTAATAAAGTAATATTATAAAAGAAATCTTTAAAACACCTTTGAAACATAATTAAGTCCTTTCTTCATTGCTTCCATTCTATTGGCCATTCTTTTTTCATTCTCTTTTTTCTCAGCTTTTTCTCTCTTCAATTGTCTCTTAGAAGGCTGCTTTGTCTGAACCTTCTTTTCGTCATTTTTGTGAATTTTTTCTGTATCATTTGAGTTAGTTTTTGTGCGTATACTACTAACAAAAAGTTTATATACATATAACTTACATAAGCTACAAAACAATCAAAATGTAGATATACATATAAAGTATATTTACTTTGTTTTTTTCTCATCCTTTTTATTTTGGTTTTCTTTTATTTCAGCAAAGACATTTTCCTCATCATTGTATTTAATACATTTATTATTATTATTATTGTTGTTATTTGAAATCTTTCTTTTTCTTCTTTGTCTTTTATATTTTATGTCCAGCTTATTTACTTCTTCCATTTGATTAATATCAGATTCTGAGGTACTAGTTTTATCTATTTTATTTGTAATTTTTGCAAATGATAAATTAAAGATAAACTTGTATTATACAAAGTCTCAAATGGACTGTATGTGTAATGAAAGAATATAAATAAGATTTATTAAACATTTACCTTTAGATTCATACCCTTTCTTCGTTCGTTTACGTGATTTTAAACTCCTAACCCCAAATTTTGACGTACTATCAAATTCCATTCTATTGCTCACTTAAATATTCTATATAAATATAATTCAAAATTTATAAAATTGCAACATTCAGAGTATTAATAATATTCTTGCAATTAATAGCAGAGATAAGAAATAATATGCAAATAAGAATTCTAAACTTAATTATCGTTGTACACATGGGGGCACATCTATTCACGTATCTTATTCAAATAAACAACAATGAATAATATAAGAACATCAAAATAATAATATTCGTAAATATTTAGGTTAACGTTTGTCTTTTAGAAAATAAAATATAGGAGAACAGTAATAATACCAAATACAATATATACACAACATTGGCGTAATTAACACATTAAAACTTAGAAATTCGGTGCATAAACTGTGTAATTTTTATTTTTAACAATAATGCGTTCGAGATTGATTGAAAGTACTCTACAATTTAAGAGTAATAAATCATTATTAGAAAAGAGGTATGTTTAAATATATAATACTTCCTTTTTTTGTACTTCAACATTAAATTATGTATACTGAAAAAGGCTAGGTAATTTAAATATCTTAAAACTATAATAAAAACTTAATTGTTTTAGGCTTTCTTTTCCTCAAATATGTTCCGTTTTAAAATATAGTGCCAGTTCAGAGAAAAATAAAACAAAAACTGATGACGATGATGATGATAATTATGATAAACCTTATAAATTTTCAACATCAAAAGCAGCAAAACTTTCTGCTAGATATACAAGTGCAAAAGCCAGAAATAAACCATTCTTACAACCAACAATTATAGGTTTAAGCTTAGCTGTCTTTTTTATATACTTTGGTATCTTGAGAGAAGAAAATGATATAGATGAAGCTATGATACAAAATATGGATCCAACAATGGTAAAAGAAATATATGGTAACAGAAAAATATAAAATGTAAAATGAAATTAAATAATAGAATCTATAATAGAATCTAATGTAGTTGAAAATATTTATTTAGTAATTAACATGTATAAATAAATGTTCTTTATTAAATAAAACTATAAGTAAATATCTATAATGGATAAAGTAATTCACCCCATATTATATTATTTATTATCTTATTCCATTCTATGGGTGGATGACGATTAATTGTATCTGGTATACACTTGTCCCATGTATAATGCCATGATGCTACAACCATTGTCATTATTAATACTACTGGTCCTTCTGTTTTATATGAATGTACTTTAATATTAACAACACCTACAATATATAAATTATATAGTTTGTAAGTGATCCAATTATAAGTCAATAATAAAGTATTTTGCTTACTACATGTGCTGTAAGAATGAAATAACCACTTAAAAAATGCATATACAGGCATAACTTGAAGATAAAACTTCATTCTTGTCAACAAACCTCCAAAGCTAATTAATACCAATCTGAGCTGTAAAATGAACCTATTAATTATTAAATGACAATCATAGTCATAATCTACAATCATAGACATAATCTAATTATCTATAATGTACCATAGTAAAAACCACATAATAGACCCAAGTTGTTGGCATGAGGAACAACAAAATAGTAAACAATAAAGTTCCAACAAACAGCTGATCAGGTTGATATTGGCAAGAATCAATTCTTTCTCTCAATGGATTCTTCTTCTTACCCAAAAATAATCGAAACAAAGCAGTAATACCTCTCAACTGAATGTTGAAAAGCCTGTTGAAAAAATCAAATTATTTTCTGATCGCATTTTTACAGTTTCTGTAACTTATGTGTTTAATACCTTGCAGCATATACATAAATACAATAAGCATGAAAACTGACAAGTGCTAAAAGATCAGCTGCTATTGCTATTTGAAATGTAATGCCAAGCTTTCCAAACATTACCAATACTTCGAATGTAAAATCCATCACAGGTTTCATAAATATTAAAAATGTCCACCACATATGTATATGGTATAAAAAAAATTTTCCAAGCATATTATTTAAGGCATGATTTAATTTTAAGCCAGCTGGTACACCCATTAGCCAATTGATTAAATCTTTCAGAAACGTTACTACCTTCTATAAAATATTTAACATATGAAAACATTAAGTTTACTATTAATTTCACGTAATTTTTAATATACATTACCTCTGCATTATCCAAAAGTATCTGAGACGGAGATATATATTCAAAATTGTGCAACAACAATTGCAATATAGAAATTCCCAGTAACATGTCTATTATTAACGCAAAAACATAGTTACCAGTTTTTAAAGTGCATCTTTTGTTCTTTATTACAGTGATTAATATCCATTTAATATTCTTCAACCATCCATTAACATGTAAGGCGAGAGAAGAATATTTTAAAATTGGTAGTAATTTGTTGGTAATTTTGGCAAGAAAAAGAACTGGATAAAAATATATAAACATATGATATACAAGTAGCGTTTCCTTTATATAAGTACGTTTCTTTTTTTTCTGTATTTCTTTTTCAATTTGCTTGTTTTGTATGATTTTCATTAACTCATAAAAGTGGTCTCCAGATATTGTTTTTTGAGCAAATAATTCTGTTTCTCTGAATGCAGACTGATCATAGACTGTAATGACTATATGACACTGTGAAGTGGATATTTTTTTATTATTCACAATAATATTTCTCAAATTATAATCATAGATATTGTCTTTAGAGAAAAATGTAGGATGTAAGCATACATTAATCCAATCTAAATATTTCTTATCCACATATCCTCGTTTGTATTCTGTACCAAAGTAATATCCAATTATGTTAACGTATTTAATTGTTTCTAAATTGTCTACTTTACATACACCGATGACATAAAACTTTTTTACTCCTGTATTATCATCATATACTACTTTACCAAACATGTATCCAGGCTTTTCTTTATAAAGTCTGTTTGGTAAAAAAACTAATACACTTTTCATTGCAGATTTTTCATTAATATAGGGTACAATCATGTGTTTAATAAAAACATTGTTCGTATGCATTAATGTATTAATTTTTTGATGCCTTATTCCACTTTTTCAAATGTTTTATTATAATGTTTTATCATCGGTTAATCTTCCATAATAATAATACAATCTCTTTCATTTTATTCTAAATTGTAATCTTTTTTAAATCGTGCATTGACGATATATTGACAAGCGGTCAGCTGTTTCCGGTTTGCAAAAATACAGGTGGCTCGACAGAAATCTGTGAAAATCCCGGCTAATTAGGTTTAATTAAATAAGCAGTACTTGGACTGGCAGCACCGAAGTAAACAACGAACGTGTGATGAAGCTTTAGTATTGGTATTTTCTCTCTTTTAATTTCCTTTTGGTTTGGACGGATAATGTTGAAAGAAGAGGTTGAAGCAAGCAGGCCTAGAAATGGTGATAACTCGCACACGACTACACCGGACTCAGGAAGTAACGACGTGGCCAAAGAGTCGCATCAGAAGATCGCGATAAAAGAGAGACTAGCTAACAAGATGTTTTCATATGCCAGGAAAATCATTCGTTTTTTCCTTGCAATTATCTTTACTACCTTAGCTGCTCTTCATAGTTCGTAAGTTTTAGGTTATAACGATTTTCTAATTAAAAATTTATTAACATTCAATGTGATATTGCTATCGCATTGAAACGTGGCTTTATATTTTGATACTATGCCACAATTTGAAAGTACCGTATTGGTAATAAAAGCGTGCTTTTGCCTGATAATATTATGTATTTTATTATTGTGTATGTTGTATTGTATAGTTATTTTTATTACAGTTCTCCCAAAGTATCAAAACCTCCATTAGCTAAACCATTTTTCAATCAAAGTTCAATTGTTTTGGATTTTTATAAAGGACATTTAGGAGCTATGATAGAAAGAGTTACAGAAGCAGACTTTAGTTTTGTTATGTACTATGCTCCATGGGATGCAGAAAGCCAAGCTGTGCGCCAAGAATTTGAAACAGTTGCTCAATATTATCATTCGCAGGTACCAAATATATATTTATAAGTGCTTGTTTTAATCACATAATAAAACCAAGATATTTATGATATTTAGATTTTTTTTGCTGCTATTAATTGTTGGCATCCGAATTCAGAATGTAGAGCTCAATATAACAAAATACAAAGTTATCCAGTGCTAATGCTTTATCCTTCGAGGGATTCTGGTATAGAATACAGAGGTACACGTACATGGCCATATATGATAAAATTTCTTAATACAGTTATGAATCCAATTGTTAGGATAACACATAAAGAACAATTAACAGATTTACGTGTGAATTATGATGTAAGTATAAATAAATGATTCACATCTACATATATTTTTATAAAAAGATGAATTGTTTGTTATTATCATTGCAGATTGTAGTAGTAGGCTATTTTAATTTCACTCGGTTAGATAAAACTCCTGGTTACAAAGAATTTTATAAGGCTGCTTTACGAACATTAGAAGAGGACCCTAATAGAGAATTGGCTTTTGCTATTGTCACTAGTGCACTATCTAGTGAAACGGACTATAATATTTATAAACTTCCATCTGCAAATTTATTTATGTGGAGCAAGTTTCTAGTAAGTACATAAAAAAAAGTCTTATACTTATACTTTGAGTAATGGTAAATACATTGCATACATAAAGCAGAAACATTTGCATATATAGCACAATTAAATGAGTTTGAGAATTCAAATGTGTAGAGGTATCCAGAAGACTCTGAATGGACTTCCGAAAACATATTAAATTGGATTAGCAGCTTTATTCACCAACCAGTTTTGTGGCTGCAACCTCCTGGAATAAAAGCATTAACATTAGCACCATATTTGAGAGAAGGGCCTGTGCTTTTTCTCTTCACTCCTCGTAATCCTTTGCACTCTGAAAATTATAATTTTAACTTGGTATGTAATATTACACTCAAACGCGATATTCAAAGAATATATTATAATAATTACAGTGATTGTTTAGATGAGAGAAATTGGACTGCAATATTATAATTGTGGAGATAACATCTTAACTAAGGAGATAATTAATCGTCTCAGTTTCAAGCGTCGCACTGCTATTGCGAGACATTCGGAGCAAAACAAATTTTGTGCAAAACTTTTGAAGGAAATTAGTAATCAAAGGAATGATTTTATTACCAGCACCTCAATTCAAAAATGGATTAATGATAGTTGCTGTGTTAATGTTGTAATGAATAAATGTTCTTTGTGTAAAAAGAATATATTCAACAATGCAAAAAAAGAAATGTCTATTTGTAAACTGAATAGTGATAAATTTGATCACGTTTGCGAAGGCGTTGATATTTTCAAAGTTTCAGCTACACATGATTCACAACAGAAATATGAAATTTGTTGTAATGAAGATCCTACTACAGTAAAATACGAAGACAACTTTAAATTTAAAAGGTATAAAAAAAATTGATTGTAATTATTTTATCAGCTAATATACTTTACTTTTTCAGTCAAAAATACAAAATATCGACATTTACTGCGAACGAAGAGGATATAAGATCTGCAAATGCAATAAAACAAGCACATTTAAGATCTGAGTGTAAAAGATGGATAATTGGAAATAGATATCATCAACCTATATTTCCGCGAGATAATCTCGAATATCCAAATATAAATTTAACAAAATCAGTGTGTACAATTAATAAAACATTGACATTAATAGCAATTGATAGTTTACATTATTTTTATTTCGCGGAAGGCCTGGGCATAGACCTTTTAAAAAGGAAAGATAAAACTGCTGTTGTTATATTAGACGTTATTGTAAGTATTTGAATGTATTTTCATATTGTCACATATAATAATTTGTTATTTTTTCTTTTAGCATGAAAGTCAATATGTCATGCAGGAGGATTTTAATCGATATACATTTATACAGTTTATAAATAATTATACTCAAGGTTTTCTACAACGTACATTACGTTCTAATAATTCGAGACGTTTTGTACAAAAATTTAAAACTAAAGTTAGTTGTAAAACGAAAAATGTACAAAATATATGCATACCAGAATTAACAACTGAAACATTCTTAGATACTATATTAGATCCAACAAAGGTAAATTAAAAGGAATAATAAACATATTGTAAAGGTATAAGATAAAAAGAAATATTAAATTTAATGATTTTTTTAGGATGTGGTCATAATGTACCATTCTCCTTATTGTGCATTTTGTAGCGCGATATTTTATGTATATTTAACAGTAGCTCATTACTTACACAAAATGGATCATCTGTTATTTGTAAGAGTAGATGGTGATAATAATGATTTACCGTGGGAGTATAATATGAATCGATTCCCGTCCATTCTTTTTTTTCCTGCCAAAAGGTAAGTAGAATTGAATTATTTGGTATTGTTCTTTAACAGTTTTCTTGTTTCTTTCATTTCAGAAAAGAGGATAGCACGGTGTATCCATTTTCTTTGTCAATTACAATACCGAATCTTGTGAATTTTATCTTAGCGAATTTGGACGAAGATTCGCATGTTGAAGCGCTTGTAAATATTTGTCAATCTGGAGCCGGTATGATTCCGGATGCGTGTATCGCTCGAACTCGCTGGCTGTGTTTAGATATTATTCAACAATTGCTTCGAGATTATCGAAAATTAATAAGGCATATTACTATAGTAGGAAGAATAAGTGCCAGAAATAAAAGAAAAGTCATTTTACTAAAGTTGGCACACATTAAAGATATACACTTAATATTAAGTTCCACTGTCGACCTCAGCGAGGATCAACACAAAGTAAAACTCATCAGAAAAAAATATAGAAAATATTATAAAAATATTAGGTCACTTGAGTTAGATAGCAAAGTAAATAGCAATCAAGTGGAAAATTTATATCAAGAACAAAATGTTCTCGAAAAGAAAATGATTAGAAGCGAATTGTGATATCGATTTAAAGATAGATATATTGCAATGAATGTTATTTTACCTAAGTTCTTTTATGACTTTGTACTAAATGTACAGTATATACCTCACAAACCATCTTATTTTACGAATGTAAAATATATTCAACTGAATTATATTTATTATGCGCAAATGATATCACAACTTATTTAAATATTTTTGTGAATATTTTTGTGTGTATTAGGAAAATACTTATCACTTCGAAAAAACATTCCCCCAAAATATTGTGAATGCAATTTTTGCTGTAATGTAATTGTAAAAAATGCATTCATTATTTTTTATTTAAATTTTTATAAAAATTTTGCAAGGGAAAGATATTTATAGCTATCGTCCAAACAAAGATAGTAACACATTGATAAGACTTTTTTCCAGCGCATCATGATCCTATACAGGGAGTATACGTACATTAGACTTACTCACTTTTGATTAATATTCATGATGTTTAATATTAGAACAGAAACAAAATGTATTATTGCAGATGTATAATACCAAGGCACGTAAATTCTAATTTTCAGAATTTATTTTAAAATACAAAATACAAAATAGGCAATATTAAGTAAGCTCTATCTCTACATCAAAGTGAGATTATCAGTTTGATTTTCTATTTGGTATATTGTGTGATTTGTGCATACATTTATTAAAAGTGTATGTAACTTGTACATTTATGTAAATATTGTTATAAGAATAAAAACTATACATTGATATAAAAAAATATAAACAAATTATGAATAGAGAAAAGGAAGTGCAAAATAATTACATAATAATTGCAACGAATAATTAAAGTATTAATTCATATCATTTTATAAATATTGTAACTCTGATTTTAATCGTCAATAAGGCATGATAAATTTGTAATAAAATCCAAAAAAAAATCTATTTACTGTACCACGACCTTATATGTACGAAGATCGGATTAAAAGTGATAAAATAGCGTGGGCCGAAAGTGGTCGATGGGTCGCGTAATCTTGCGTTAGTCATTCTCTCCGTTTGCCTGATTTATTTATGGGTTGGGCTACTTATTCGATGTAATGAAATTCCTAGTAAAATGACGCGTGATAAGAAACTCGTTTTTTTCTAGCGATTTAATTGCTGATCTTTGATCAGTACATGGCATTGAATTGTCACTTGTGTTTTTGATCATTTCCAATAATATGTGAATAGAATAATTTTAACGATTTATCATTTAAAATACTTCAGTAATAACGCAATACATTTTGTACAAGATATAAATTTTCAAATCTTTTTTATTGTATATAAAAATGGATCGACGAACTTAATAAATGTATTTAAATCATTTTGCTGCTAATCACTGATTTGCTTCTATAGCGCGAATCTGTATCCTAAATTCATAATTCACGATATGAAAGTACAGTTATATTTTACAAGGCATATATAGACACGCGAAAAAAATATTCCTTACGCGAATAAAATAAATGATGTAATCTAAAAATTGAAACGTGCATCTTTTTCGCGAGTGTCACGACAAAGTTGAAAAGATCTGCCAAGAAAGGGCAGGACTAATAAATCGTATAATAAATGCGAATAACAAAGTTATTAATTCTAATTGTATGTTCACGTGTCAAGTACGTTTTCTTATTATTCATAAGATTAGCTAATTATCTTTATAAATACTACTATAAAAAAAGACAAGCTAGAGAGGGATAAGAAAGAGGACAAAAGATGGATTTGATCAGGTTTATTCCAAGATTCCATTGAAATTCGGTAACGTCGAACGTGGAAATGTTCGTCAGCGCCTCCTAGCGAGCAGGATCATAGAAAGGAAGTCAAAGAAACATTCGGTTTCTGGTAGTCTCCTCTCTATGTGGAAACATAACTGTATGACCGTGTGTACTGTGCCGCTGACAATGAGCCGCGGCGGTGACTGTGATAAGTGATCGCGTACCCTTCCTTGTCGCTAAACGCGTAGTGGCAGTGGAGAAAGATAGTACGTCGGCCAAGAAAAGAGTCTACCTCTTGATGACTCGCGCTTTACGCAAGGCGCAACGTAGCCGGAGCTCACAATTATGTTCGATGTACCGCCCAAGTTCTACGAGCTGTGTCGCCTTTGTTTATCGTCGGACGGTGTCAAATTGTCCATATTCGAAGAGGAAGGCGCCCAGCGAAACTTCGCCGATAAGATACTGACGTGCCTCTCGATTACGGTGAGTCTCGTCGAGAGTTTTCACCGGATCCTCGTGCCGAGACGAAGATAAATCAGACGCGACCATCTGTGGTCCTCGCACTCGTTGGTGTGTCTCCCTCTCTCCTACGCGTACTCCTATCCGCTTTTCCTTCGTTTCGCTCACGCTTGCTCTCTCTCTCTCTGTATATTGTCTTCTATCTCTATTCACCTCACTATCTTAAGGGTGCGTGTATGTGTGCGCGTGCCACGGGAGAAAGTTTGGCAAGAGATGTGTCCGCGAGATAAGCCGACTCACGGGGGATTTAAAATGGCAGTGATAAGCTGTATGCTCCTCGTTTGTGCGGATCTCATGGTAGAGGGGAGCAACTCCTTATTTAGACGGCCTGTTATCAGGTTTCACACGCGGATTCCACGAGTCGCTGTCACATTTTATTCTATCCTATATATTTCTTCTTTGTCCATGTAATCCGCGATCTGTTTTCGCATATATATGGTACATACGGTCTTCTCTTCTGGAGGAAAACTCCGTTTCCGTTCAACCTACTTAGAAAAAAAAGGTCGTTAGTTTTATTCCTCCCTGAAGTTTATTTCGAATTTTCACGTAAACAGGAATAGGATACGTTTTATGTTGGGTGTTTTACGTGTTTATATATAATTTAAAATGTAATAATGCTGTTAGCATTGCTTTCTATATTAACTTCATTTTGTAATTGTTATTTGATCTTATTTAGGAAATATTAGAAATGGATTAAAGTTATTCGAACAAAATTATTATCATAAGTATTATAGAAGTAGCTGTAAATATAGACTTATCAATCAAAAAAACCAATGACACAATTGGGTTTTATTCAGGTAAAAGATGGGGATTCTTTACCACCAATTATCTGTCACCGATGCGTGTACAAGTTGGATGTACTGCACAATTTTCGTGAAGTGTCACACAAATCTGATGTCATACTCAAACAGTACCTGGATTATGCCAAGCAGTTATCATCACACGATGATCAGGTAGTTATTAAATATATTTTTTTAAATGTCATGTATAAAGATATATTAGAACTTATTGATATAGATCATTATACAATATGAATCACATCATTTTCCAGTTAAAAGAATAAGACTTAATTTAACACAGTAGCACCAATGAGCAGTCATTCCATTCTAAGTAATGATGCAACTGAAAACGTGCAACATGTGATTGTAGATAAGAATGTACTTCAGCACATGTATATTATAAACACACATTTAATACATACAGGATGTTGTTTATTTGTCTCTGTGCCCTGATCAGTAATTATGTAAGACGTTTCAAGGTTTTCTTTAATGCAGTCACCTTTAACCTTATTAATTTGATAGTGATTACAGAATAGAAAAATTTATGCACATAACTAATTATTTTGTTATGACTGTATTCTGATCAGGTACAAGGTGCAAATGTAAAAATATTATTTTTAATTCGTTCTAATAGATGAAAATTTATGCTGAAGTCAATAAATGTTTGCTCAATATAATTTTACTAAAAATGATACATGAATGTATTAAATATTGTAGTTTTCCTTTTATAGATATTTTTAAATAAATATATTTTTTATTTGTATATTTTTTAAACAATTCTAATAAATTGTAATTTGTTTTGTTTCAGAAGAAATCTTTCTCCACTGCCAAAGTAGCAGGTTTAAATCCTCTACAGTCATTTCTCCAATTGAACAAAACATTGTTCAATGAGGAGCCTAATTCTCCGGCCAGCATTAATCAAAACATTATACCTCAGACTCAAACACATCATTTGGAGTTGTGCACCAATGACATGTCTGAACATGATAATATTAAGTGTGGACCAGAAGATGACACGTGTTCAAATAGCTCTGATCCAGACAGATTAGAAATAGAAGATCGAGATGAGCAGGATACTGAGGGGGAAGAAAATGGTTATGATATGACTATTAACAAAAGAATAAAAGTAGAAACAAATTATGAAGAATCAAAAACAAATACCCCTAATCGCAGTCCAGTAAATAGAATGGATACACCAGAAAGCAACTGTTCAGATACAAATATTGATCAAGAAACAACAAAATTGTGGCAAGCATTAGCAAAGTAAGTACAAAATTTTAAATTTTTGTTTGTAAGAAAGTTTATTTCATAGAGTATGAGAGCATAAATCTACATAGTATAGCAGTTTCTGTTCTTATTTATTTGACACATATGTTCATTTAATTTAATGTATAATTAATGTAAAGTTTACATTATCACATCAGTTTATATTATTCTTTGTTAAGATTATAAATATAGTCTTGTGCCATATTTATCTTTGGACTATCAAAATAATTACTGTTTGCAGTAGTTTTTTCCTCTGAAAATAAGAGTTTCTTTAAAGAATATTTGACTAACTACAGATATATTGCATTTGCATATACCTATATTATTAGATTTGAAACGATATAATCTTTGTTTATGTTTAGCAACAGAAGTTTAGAGATCACCAGGACAAATGGTGATAAATTAAATAATGGCTTTACTGGTGAAGCGACTAATTTACTGCGTTCCTTGATCAACAACAGACAAATCGGTATTACGCCGATTGATTCGGACAGAGTATCGCCCCAGATTAGGTTTTATAGGGACACTCAAGGGACTACAATCGAACGTACTATACCCGATTGTTCTGTACTCGGCAATCGTACTAATATCTCCTGTATAGAAAATAAGGTTTGTGAATTTTAAAATAACATTTGAATACTTCAATAATATAAATCGTAGCTATTATGTTCAAATTGAGTACGTTCTAAAATGTCATTAGAAACTTCTCCCAAATTCTCGCTCGATTTTCCAAATATATTTTGGATATTTTTAAAATATATAATATCAATGTAGAAACAGTAAAAAAAGTTGAAATTCTCTCTGTTTTTTAGAAATTATACCTTTTAAACAAAATTTTGAGATTTATAGAAAAATGGAAAATCTTTATTTTCTTTGTTGTTCATACTTCTTTGACCCTAATCTTCCTGCAAATAAAAGTTTTTCCATGAGAAGTCCTTGCAGTTTATTCAATGCAAATACTAGAAAAGAACTACAGGTATAGAAAAGAACACAGGTCAGGTGACCCTTGGATGTCAAGGGATCCCAAAGGGATCCCTTGACTATTCAGGTCCCATCTGCTTGCAGGTAAGAAATGTGGTAGGCCTTGTAGATAATAGATAACTGAGAAGCCCTTTGTGATAGTTCATAAGCGCTAAGTCCACCATGTCATGCTGCTGTTAACAGATGTTCAGATAAGTTGGGTTGCTATAGATTTTTAAATACGTCTTGTTCCGTGTGAGGAATTTTTCAATTTCTTCTAATATGAAACAGGATTGTACTATCCTTTGTACTATTTTCCATTTTATTGGCTTTTTATTCTGATACCTGTAAAAAATTGTTTTTGTTCCTTAGTAAACTATCTATATCAAGAGAATTTCGAACTACAAATGCGAAATTAAAATAATTATTGAGTGAATTTAAAATGTAATGATAGTAGATATGTAATAATTTGTAATGTAATAAATAGAAAATAATGTAATAAAATATGTAATAATAATTTTTAATTTCTTTATTAATCTACAGGGTACATCTGTGGATAGCAATCCGTCGAGTCCTGCCAGTGTTGGTCGAAAAGAGACCAAAGGTCGCAGAAAACAAAGTTATCCTAGTAAAGCTCCAATGAGTCCAGATATTAATTATCAACACGAATCTAACGAAGAACAAGCACAAGATTTTACAGCATGGTCAAATAAGATAAAGGTGAAGGTATGATCGGAAATTCATTATGTAAAATAAAATATATATATCATGATATTTGTTATGATTATTTGTGTAGGTAGAGGACCAGAAACAACAATTCGATCAACATAGCGGTAACATAACGAAAAAAGTAGATATGTCCTGTACAAATTGTGGCACCATGACTACAACTATTTGGAGAAGGAATATGAAGGGAGAAATGGTTTGCAACGCTTGTGGACTCTATTATAAACTTCACGGAGTAAATCGTCCAGTTACTATGAGAAGGGATACGATACATACACGCAGACGTAGACCGAAAGGCGAGAAACCAACAAGGCATAGAAGTAAGCTTTACATACATTAACGTTTTCACATATTTTATTTTATTTTCAATATAACATATTTTTTTTTTTTTTTTTTTTTTTTTTTTAGAAAAAGGTGACTCAATTTTGGCACCACAGTCAGAACAAATGGATGCAGAAAGTGCAGATATGTTAGCAGCACTTCGGCGACAAATTCAACCCCACTTAATGATGGCTGCACTAACGCCACCGCGTATACCCGGTGGTCATCCACCAGCCCCAACCGCTCAGCTCAATTACACTCTTCCCTTACCTAGTTATATGATGCACGTAAGTATCATTCAACGATCAGTGATTTATAAATTATATAACAGTTGTACACTTTTATTGCATTTTTTAAATATTTATATATTGTAACAGCATGTGAAGGCAGAAGGGCGAGAACAATGTCATTTATCTACAGAAACAGAAGAAACAGAGGAAGGAGATGCAGAGAATGTTTCAGACGTACCATTAAACTTAGTTGCGACATCGTTATCCGAAGAGGCACATTGAAAGCACCTCGACCAGCTTCAGAACGACTTCTCTATAGGTATATACATACAAGTCGTTATATATAACAAAGAATCTCTAGACAGAACAGTCTGTCCGGCGATACACAGGGTTTAAGAGACGAGATTGTTCTTCTCCTTTCTGTTGTCCACTGACTCTCGTCCATAATCCTCTTTTTTGGATTGTCTTCTCCTTTCTTTTCCTCTCTTTTCACGGTCTCAAGAAATTTGAGATGGTAGAATATTGGGATGTATATTTATCCCTTGAGCTACCAAGCCCGTGGCGCAGAGCGCACGAAGGAACGATGATATTAAGTACGCAGTATTAATTACGTGGTTATTCAAAATATGTACATATATAATATACATGAATACGAAGAATATTTTTATACAAAATTTTCTACGCTTGCAGCTATAGAGAGCGACGGGCGATCGTTGTACATACACGCGCAAATTGTTCTTTCGGTGTCACACGTACGCGTTAAAAAAGAATGGTGGTAGTTGTCTGTTTTTTTAGTGACGTAAGAAATTCAATCACCAGTGAAAGTTTTTAGAACGGTGCTAGATTACTGTTCGGGAAGGCTTAGAAATAAAGAAGAAGAAACAAAAAATGATAATCTGTCACTAAAAAATTAGTGAACAAAATTTAACCGTTTTGTTCCACGGGCTTTTAGCTGTCAGTGATGTTACAATCATAATAGTCTCGTTGTTTTACGAAATATTTAATCTAAAAAACAAACGTCTCAGCTAAACTTAATTAGTGAACAAAACCTATTTTTGGTTTTAATAGCGAGTGGAATCTTATTATCCACTAGAAACATGGAAAAAATCAATGGAACAGAAAAACGGTTGCACAATGTGACAAATTAAAGAAAAAAACATTCGATACTCTGTAATTTGAGCTTCGTCAAATTACATTTTTGCCAGTATCATTTTTAAATATCATATTCTAGTGGCCTTTCAGTAATTCATCTCTTTTCTCTTCCTTTTTTTTTTTAGCTCTTATTGCAGTAAGTGCAGATAATTTAATTACAAATATTATTAATTTAGATGATGTAGATACTTTTTTACGTGAGCACGAGACTGCCGGTGTAAACACATTTTAAATACTCTTTCTACCATTTACGTATTTTTTCTTCTTTCCTTTTTCTCTATGTGTTGAAAAGCTTCTCGACTGTTTATACAGTTGCCAAGAATTTGTACTTAATAGGCAAAGCAGCACACCACCATATAAGCTAAGACTCCGAAAGCAATAAAAACGCGATGGTACGTAGAATAGATTGTTGTCATACAATACTCGTTTGCGTGCTCTCTTGACGACAATTTGAATATACATGAATTTCAGGAACTAATATTTAGATAACATTCATTTATACCAGACGTTAAAAGTAACAAATTTTATTGCTCCACAGTTGCTGTAGGTATGTTTCACATATTCCATAATTTCTCTTTAAATTTCTTCCTTAACTCTATCTATTTCATTTTATTTTCATATTGCAAAAGAAGAAAACAGAAAATATTGATGATATTTTGATGTAGATAAACAAAATTACTTGTTTTCCTAAGGGTTATCACTGATATATTTTCCAGAATGTACAGATCACACATTAATAAAGAGGTATTAAGCAACCTTAAATATCACTTAATACAATGGCCAGTGCATCTACTCATGTATTGTTATATCTAACATTGTATACCTAAACAACTTTGCCAAAAATAGATTTAGTCTATATAACATAGAATATAGTTAAGGGCATACGATAAAAATTAATGTTTTATCTTTCTCTTTTATAAACCTCATACACAGCATTTACATATTTCTCCTTTATTTTTCTCTCTCTTCTTACAGCTCTTCTTATCAGTGATATCTCTTGGCATACATTGCTTTACAGAGCTTTTAAATTCACTTACAGTAATTGGTGGAGCAACTTAGTTTTAGTCGTTATCAAAGGAGCCTTATGAACTCACTTGTGTGTGTGTGTGTGTGTGTGTGTGTGTGTGTGTGTGTGTCTATGGTATAATAAATATTAATATAGTGTAATAAATATTTATATACGAGTA